GCAAATCAAAACTTGAAGCTTTAAAAGCTCTCTTCTTTTTCGAAAAATAATGTTTTTGGTTGATTGGTTTTATGGGGTGCTGGCATCGCTTGGTTTGTGGCAAAAAGAAGCCAAGATCTTGTTCTTGGGCCTTGATAATGCTGGCAAAACCACCTTGCTTCACATGTTAAAAGATGAGGTGCTTTTAAGTTATTTTGTCATATTTTTTTTAATTTTTATTTCTGGTTTTTGTTTGGTTTCTGAGAAACTGCAAAGAAAATTGAATCTTTAGGCTCTTTAATTGTTTTATTTTGTCAAGTTTTTGGTGACTCAGAAGTGAAAAATAAATTGGGTTTTTGTCAGGTGTTCTAAATTTTGTGTTTATGAGTGAATTAGATGGAAAAACAATGAAAGCTTGAGGCTTAAAGATTCAGATTTTAATTGTTTTTTCTGAGTCTTTGTTTACCGAGAAATGAGAATGAACCGGGTTTTGTATGAAGTGAAATTGGAGAAATGAATTAACTTTTGTTGTGGGTTTTGTTTTTCGTTTTTCGGTGTGGCAGAGATTAGTGCAACACCAGCCTACACAGTATCCAACATCAGAGGAGTTGAGTATAGGGAAGATCAAGTTTAAGGCGTTTGATTTGGGCGGCCATCAGATTGCTCGTCGAGTTTGGAAAGATTACTATGCCAAGGTTGTTTATTTATTCTCTCTCATAATGTTTTGCCTAGTATACTCTAGCATATTGGTTTTGCTTGCAATGAGGTTCAGCACATTAGTTGTTTGGAACGTATGGATTGGTTGTTCATTGTGGTTGTAAGTTGCAATCGTATCTTGATACTTGTCGTTGATGTTTACCTCTTAGAGAAATGCATGCGGATCCAGGAAGCTGGAAGTTGGTATCCACTTTTGTTAACGCTAGGATTTGGAGTTGTGTCCTAATAGTTTAGGAATTTTGCGAAACTCGGTGAAATGATTCAAGTAAACGAAAGTTACTGCATTTAGTCTTATTGGATGGCAGTATGAGGTTTTTTTTTTCTTCCCTTCCGTACATCAAATTATGTTGGAGGAAGGGGAAAATGCCCTTGAACTTGGATATGTTAATCGACCAAGAGTCAACAACGTGTGAATTGGAGACTGCTTTTTATTTCACAATCCCAGACTATGTTACTTTTCTGATGATCTGATTCGTGGGAGGCACATACCAAATGGGAGTTCACTGGTAACGATTTTGGTCTTTGAAAAGTGTTCTACTAATACCTAACCACACATTTTTTTCCATTGCAATATGGAACTGCCGAGTTTTTATTTGTTCTAGCCCTTGAATAATGGGAAATTCCACATGAACCGCCCGAGTACTTGTTGTCTTCCTCTCCATTTTTGCACATAATTTGTCATTTTTTACTATTGACACAGTAACTTTTAGTATAGCCGTGTCTGACTGTTTCTTGTTGGGTTTTTCCTGTGGGGTTTTTCCTGGACTATATTGTACTCCTGAGTTTTGACCGCAAAATCCTTTTCTTGTGAAGGTGGATGCAGTTGTTTACCTGGTAGATGCTTACGACAAAGAGAGATTCGCTGAATCAAAGAAAGAACTAGATGCTCTCCTCTCTGATGAAGCATTAGCTAATGTCCCCTTCCTTGTTTTGGGCAACAAGATCGATATTCCATATGCTGCCTCAGAAGAAGAGTTGCGGTACCACCTTGGCCTTGTCAACTTCACCACTGGCAAGGGAAAGGTGAACTTGGGAGACTCAAATGTTCGTCCACTCGAGGTCTTCATGTGTAGCATTGTCCGCAAGATGGGTTACGGAGAAGGTTTCAGGTGGCTTTCTCAGTACATCTAGAATTGAGCTATAGAAATCTAAGATCCTATCCGTTTAGTTCCCAAGGGAGCTATAGAAATCAAAAACCTGTTTAGTTCTCAAGTGCTATGTTCTATATAGAACGAATTTGGATATTGACTTTTTAGAATCATAGTTAAGGTCTTTCTCACTGTTTATGTCATGCTCTCTATTTTAAAATGAAATACATGCTCCATTTCCGTGATGAAACCTAAAAGTGATCGATGATTTGTGGTCTGTTAGCAATGAAGGGGAGCAATGCTACTGTGCTACCATTTATGACAGGGAGCAATATACTTTGGAGATCATCTCCTTCAATCTTCTAAATTTGAAACTGGAAGGTTAAAGTGACTCCATTTATGACAGGGATTCGGGTAAAGGCTATTTTCTATTACATGGTCGAAAGACCTATCAGGCCCCCATTGCCACCTCTACCGGTCACCTTGCCAGCCAACTTGACGGTCTGCTGCCACGATGGCATTTTGCTCACGTGGCAATCAATATCTTCGGAGAATTGCAGTAGCGTCCCCTAACTAATATATTCTTGTTCCAAGTTGACAAACATATGGCCTCTAGTTTAGGCCTGTGGCCCCAAATTCCATCCTCCAAAGCCACATACATGCCATTATTTTATTGTTTTTAGATGATTTTATAGCCACACACATTTTATTATTTTAATGGACATTAAAAATAATTTAAAAAATAAAAAAAATTAATATATTAAAAAAAAAAATTTAAAAAAAAACACATCAAAATAAATAAATTAAAAAATATTTTAAAAGGCAGTCACGGCGAGATAAATAAATTATAATTGTCATTGCCATCTCCCACCGCAGACAAAACTTACCCACCCGGAAAAAAAAAAACCCACTTCCTCATCAATCAAACCGTCCATTCCTTAATCAACGGTCAGATTTCACCCAATGACGCCACCAAGCACAATTCTCGCTTTTCATTGGTCCAAACAATCTAACCTGGTAACCCGACCCACCAACAACAACAACACCAATCAAGTACTGCCATCTCACACTCACACTCACACCCGCATCAAATAAAATAAAATCTCTATACATGTATTCTCTCTCTCAAAAACTGGCATCATTCTCTCTCCTTTCTTTCTCTCTCTAGACTTCCACTCTCTGGCTTAAAAAAAAAAATCAACAAAATCTTGATTGATAGAAGCTAAAAATTTTATATTTAAAAAATGTTTTTGCTTGATTGGTTTTATGGGGTGCTGGCATCGCTTGGTTTGTGGCAAAAAGAAGCCAAGATCTTGTTTTTAGGCCTTGATAATGCTGGCAAAACCACCTTGCTTCACATGTTAAAAGACGAGGTACATTTTTTTAGTTCAATTATTTATTGATTTTGTTTATGATTTTCTTTCCTGGGTTTTGTGTGGTCGCTGAAAAAGTTTAGGGAAATCGGATAAGGATGAATTATATTTTGTTAAAGTTTTGGTTAATTAGAGTTGAAATATCAACTGGGTTTTGTTGCCATTGACAAAAAAAAAAAAGAGGTACTTTTTTTTTATTTTAATTGAATTATTGGCTTGTTTTTTCTTATGATTTTTTTATCTGCGTTTTGTTTGGTTGCTGAGAAATTGCTGGAAAATTGAATAAAGATTGTAAATTTATTACTTTTGTGAAGTTTTTGGTTGCTAAGAAGTTAAATATGAACTGGGATTTTTTTGTTAAATTTTGTCTTTATAGTTGAAAGTAAAAAAAAAATGTAAAATTAAGGCCTGAACTTTAACCTTTTATTATTTAATCACTGCCATTAGATCTTTCTCAAAAGCAAATCGTAGCTGTTGACCAGTCATTATTTATAGTTATTGTTTATTTATTTAAGTTTCTTCAACTTGAAAAAATAAATTAACAGCTAACGTGTGATTATAAAATTGATATTTAATTTCATTTTTTGATTGGATTGTACTTCAGGTCACTAAAGATGGTAGATGAAATGCGTTTTGTTTAAAGTGTAATTTTTTTTATTCTATAAGTGAGAATTTGAAGAAATGAATGTATTTTGTAATGGCATTTGTTATTGTTTGTGTGCGCAAGTGCAGAGATTGGTGCAACATCAGCCAACACAGTATCCAACATCAGAGGAATTGAGTATAGGAAAAATCAAGTTCAAGGCATTTGATTTGGGTGGCCATCAGATTGCCCGTCGAGTTTGGAAAGATTACTATTCTAAGGTTGTTTATCTGCTCTCTCCCAAACTAGTATGTTGTTCTGTTTTTTTTGCAATGCGTGGAACAGGTAATTGGTTGTGGTTGCAGTCATAATTTCAATACTTGTGATTGATATTTGCTATTTAGTGGAATGTGTAGAGATTTAGGAAGTTGATGGTTGTTTCCACTTTCGGTGATGTTAAGGCATGGATTATTTGTGAAATAGTTTAGGAATCTTGGAAGCTGCATAAAAAATTAAGTGAATGTTACTGTGTGATTAACCCTTGCATTGGATATGTTAACTGCTCAAGTGTTGATAATATTCACAAGGGAGATTTTCTGGCCTTCATAATCCCAGATAATGTTGGATCTTGTGATTATCCGATTCATGGGAGGCTAGTAACAACATGGGAGTTTGCTGATAGCAGTTTTGGGTACTTGCAAGGTGCTTAATTAGTACTCACCATGCATTGTCCCCCCCACCCTCCATTTGGGCCAATTTTTATTTTTTTATATTGGCTGCTAATAGAGATTAAGTGCATTATGATTTTCAATTTTGAAATATAGGATGCGGTAGTTTTAATTTGTGGTCTTTTTCACATTTAGTTGCCTACAAGTGAAAAAGTTAAGGAAGCCAAAGTTACTTTCTCATCAACACTTAGATTGAACATGTTAACTGCCCAATGTTGAATAATTTTCAAATATTTGATAAGCTCACGCCTTCATAATCCCACACAATGTTTGTTTTGTGATTGTTTGATTCATGGGAGGCAAAAATTGAAATGGGAGGTTGCTGATGGCATTTTTTGGTCTTTGCAAGTGTTTCACTAGTACTTCACCATACATGTGCCTTTTTTTCCCTTTTTGCATTAGTTATTGCAGACTTATGTTGACTTGGATGAACTGCATTCTAATTTTCTATTTTGAGACATAGATGCCCGAGTTTTAATTTTTTGTCCTGCACTTTTGTGATTGGTTGCGTATGAGTAACTATAGTGGTAAAATGGCGTACTGGCAACCTTTTGTGAAGCATCATGTGGGTGATCGCTGTGTTCTCACGGGATTCCTGTTTGCCTTGCTTTCTTTGTTTTCTCATGATTTCCAAGTTTTTTGGTCTTTTTAACATGATGAATAGATGACCATGTTGGAATGTCCTTGTCAGATTTGTTTGTTCTTTTTGAGTTGTACTGCTGAGTTTTGACATAAAGTTCTTTGTATGTGAAGGTGGATGCTGTTGTTTACCTGGTAGATGCTTATGACAGAGAGAGATTTGCGGAGTCCAAGAAAGAATTGGATGCTCTCCTCTCTGATGAAGCATTAGCCAATGTCCCCTTTCTTGTTTTGGGCAACAAGATTGATATGCCATATGCTGCCTCAGAAGATGAGTTGCGGTACCACCTGGGTCTTACCAACTTCACCACCGGCAAGGGTAAGGTGAACTTGGTAGACTCAGATGTCCGTCCCCTCGAGGTGTTCATGTGTAGCATTGTCCGCAAAATGGGCTATGGAGAGGGTTTCAGGTGGCTTTCTCAGTATATCAAGTAGCAATCTACAGGAAATTAAGATCTGTCTAGTTCTTAAGCTATATGATGTCTCATACTGTATCCAATGTACATCATCGTTGTATAATCACGTTTGAAGGTATTTTCACGTTGTTTGGCCTTCGTTTTGGGTAGAATGGCATACATGCTACGTCATGTGCATAACGAAAAAACCTAGAAGTGATTGATGATTTGTTGTTGGTTATGGGCAATGAAAATGGGCGTTACTTCTTGTTCTCTGCTGCCTGCTCGCGTGCTTGACACTTGAGTTTGTTATTACATGGTACGTCCATTGTCTCCCAACAATTCAATGGGACAAGAGAGTTGTTAAAAGTGCTTGATTGCTGCAATTTGTATCCGCTGTTGAGTCACATTAAAGGGAAAGCGAAGGTTCAACATTAAAGGTGAACCCTTGCCAAATCCTGTGGAAGAGCGAGAAGAGCGTATGATTCTCCATCGACAGGAGGGTGTTTTGTTTTGGAAGATGGTTGGTTCCTTCCATGGATCAAGCATTCGAAGAGCATTTCCATTAACCTCAAAAGCAATATGTTGTTTGTACCTTGAATCTTCACGAGTACTTGCTTGATTCAGAATCTGTTCAATGTGCTCATAACGGCAATAATAAAAATTGGAGTGTAGAGTAGACAGCGACTAGACGGGCATGCGTTATGATGCGGTCTGTCAAATTTTTTCAATGTAGAATTTTTTTTTTCAATGAGGAAAAAAGATAATTAGGCCACGTAAAATATTTCTAAAAGAACACAAAAATCCAAGATTGAGGTAATTAACTATATTGTGTATCGAGTCCATTGAAAAAAATATAAATAAAAAATAGAATGATATTAAATAAATTAACAAAAAAAAATTAAAAAAAAAACTCAAGTCGAGTCCATTCAGATTCAGATTAATATATAAGATCTATGACTTATCATGCTATTAAGATACCTTATCAAAAGCATATTGAATAAAATTAAATTAATTGAGTTAACCTACTAACTTAGTAACCATTGGAACAAGATAAACTCAAATAAAAAAATAAAAAAATAAAAAATAAAAATAATTTTCAATAAATAAAATATTGAATGATATGTATATATTAAAAAGGACAAAAAAAGAATTAAAGTCAACTAGAGTTAACTTTAAAATTTATAATCTTGATTATAAGATCGAGAATAATCTCATAGAAAATAGACACTAAAAAATAAAATTCTAAATCATCAAAAAATTAAGGGATAAAATTGAAAAATAAAATACAATAAAAAAGATCCAAAACAAAAAAAATTAAAAAAAATAATGATTAAATTTCATATAAAAATAATTTTAAATAAAATGTTGAGAGATAAAATTAAAAATAAAATTCAATTGAAAAAAATATAAAAAAAAACATCAATTAAAAAAATAAAGATCAGATTTTATTAAATAAAACTAAATAATGAAAGGAAAAAATTTTAAAAAACAATAAAAAAAATAATAATTAAAATAATGAGGAAGAAAGTGAAAGCAAAAAAACAAATTAAACAAACACTTTTATATTTTGGTAAGGAAAAAAAAAAAGGAAAGAAAGAAAAGAAAAGAAAACTATTGGAACTCAATCACCATATGTGTGTCTGTGGCATCATTAAAAAATACACGATGAGACATTTCCAATACTTTCTTAAAAAGCATTAATCCTTCATCAACTCTTTTCTGTAATAATATCCATCTTTATTACTTATCAATTTGTTTATTATAACAAAAATTAATTTAAAAATAAAAAAATCCATGAATGTAATTTTAATTTTACTTTTTAGGATAATATAATCATTATATTATGTATTTAAAAAGTAAAAATATCAAATTATCTCCATTCAATCTCATAAAAACTAATGGATACTTAGAAAAAAACTATTTACCAATTTTTGTTGAAAGGTAAATTGGTAATTATACAGTGATATAATATGCAAAACATTTACCGTGGTCTCGATATATATATATATATATATATTTTAACGGTGCCGGTGAGGATTGCCTGGATGGAGCCGATGCACACAAGGGCAGTAGTCCTTTATCACTTGGAGGTTTTTCCAGTTGTTGTGATCAAAGGAATTAAATATTTAATCTTTTTAGGTTCAATGGGGATGTAGCTCAGATGGTAGAGCGCTCGCTTAGCATGCGAGAGGTACGGGGATCGATACCCCGCATCTCCATTTTCTCCCCGTTTTTTTTTTAATTTACACAGATTTATTCAGGATGTGATGAGAGGCATATAAATATTAACACAAAGTGGGGAATCTTAATGCGCCTCCTAAAGCAACTGATGACCTCTTCTGTAATGGACCTTGCCTAGCTGAGAGACCAGACTAGTGTTGAATTGCATTAATGATGTGATATCATATTTTCTTTTCTCTGATAAGGCAATGAGTGCTGGCTGCAGCTTCACAAGCCAATTCGTTGCCCTGCCCTGCTGTTTTCCTTTTGTTTTAACAGTTACGTGCTGCTTGACAATGGTACAGCATCAGTGTAAAAGCAAAACAGGTTATCACTTATCACTAACCAGTTGAAGTAAATCAAAGGTTGCATTGAAAATAAATTCAAACAGCGTTAGTGGAGATAATCAAGAAAATTAGTAACTGATAATCTGAAACGTTTTTATTCTTAATTTCCCCATAACAGCTAGCCTCAGTTATCAGTAACATTCGTATCGTCTAGCAAGAAAAGGCTCAACAGATCCTTGTTTAACAAGAAACTGAAACCATTTTAGTGCCGAAGACGTTACACTCATATACAGACTATAAATTGCTCAACATTTCATTCACTTATTCATCTCCAGCAAAGCAGCCGTTCTTTTTATATTTTAAGCAAAAGTTAAGCAAATAGAATTGAAGATGGCTTGTCAGGGAACCTGTGCTTGCAGTGTGGAGATGCCAAAGAAGGAGGAGGGAGTCACTACTCAGCCTGAAACGGTGGTTCAAGAGGATGCAACTACTGCTGTTGCTCCCGAGGAGGTGAAGACTGAGGAGAAGGATGCTTCTGGTGCCAAGAAAGAGGAGGAGCCTGTGAAGGCTGAAGTTGGGAGCAGTAATTAAACAAGGGATGTTTGAGTTAGAGTCAATAATTTGTTTATATTTATATTGCTTTTTGTTAGAAATCTTTCCCTCATCAAAATAAATGTTCGTTGTTTTATTTTCTCTCTCTTTTTGCACACAAAGACAATGATGGTCAAATGTTTAATTCACTTTCATAGCATTAAAGTTTTTCTTTTCTGGATCTTGCTGAGAACTTTAATGCTATATGTGTAAGGTAAATTTAACTGGTTAATATGTAGTTTTGGAGAACTTATATGTCGCTCTTCTTTCAACCCTATAATATAAACAAAAGATTAAAGATTTCTTTCCATAAAAAACCATTGGTGTTGGAAATTGAAAACGTTTGCAGCACTAACTTGAATGCGGCACACACTCTGATGACTTGCGGGTTTTATACATTCATGCATGTCAAGGTAAAACGAGAGGTCACACTTCATTTAAAGGAAGAAAAACAAAGAGTCTCATATAGGGGCATAGGGCTCTGTATATATAGCTTTCGCTCCTTGCTATTTTTTCCACCACCACACTGAACGATTATTCATATTATCTTTGTTAGAAGCTCGGCAAATCTTAAGCAACAAAGCTGAAGATGGAGAGGAAGAGCAGCTGCTGTCCAGGAAGGAGCAATGCAAGGCCTGCGAGTGGTACACCAGAGGAGGAGCCGATGCTTACCTCAAAGAAGGGAGTCATGGCTGAGAATGTCAAGATTGAAACTTCAGAAAAGAATAAGCCTAGTTCTGCTACTCCTGCTGTCACCTTGAAAACTGAAGAAAAGCCTGCTGTTTTTTTCAAGATTGATAACCCTGTTAAAATTTTAAAACGAGGATTGGAACCGATACGAGTAATTCATGAAGGATTAGATCTCGAAGAGTAGATAAGAGAGCAAGTGATCAAGAATAAGAGTGAAAAGTCCTTATGTTAAGAATAGAGAGAAAGGTTACAGATATATGAACTTCTATTTGTGCATCAATACAATTTGGCAAGTATTATTACACAAGCTCTTAATTTACACACACACACCCCTGCTAGATTTGACTGAATTCCATGGTTCAAGATCAATTAAGCTTTTTTACTGCAAGATGTGTGTAAGCTCTACGTCACCACGAGTATGGCAAGCACTAAGCAAGGAACCCCATGGAGCAGCATCATTTGGAGTTCCCTCAGGCATGCTTCTAAGCAGCTCATAAGCCTCCCTCACACATCTAGCACGCCCAAGTAGATCAACCATGCATCCATAGTGTTCAACTTTTGGCTTAATTTGATGGTGTTTCACAATTGAAGCAAACGATCTCCTCAGATGTGGCTGACTTGGCTATGGCCAAAGCGAAGGAAATGTTCACGGAGCTGCGTCCGGGTTTCACGACCATGGAGAAGGCGTAGTATGTTGCGCTCAATCTCCACCAAGTTCTGCTCATTCTTTCGTCCCCCCCTCTTCAACATAAATTTAAAGAGTTTTTTTAAGGTGGTGTTAAGAACTTGAGAGGTTAGGAAAATGAAGATGAATAATTACAGATTAAAATATTAAAAGTAATTTTTTTAAATTATAAATAAATAAAGAATCATTGGCTAAAATTTTGAAAATAATTTTTAAAAAATTAAAAATACTCTAAAAAATAAAACAAGCTAATTTTTTTTTGTTTTCATTATTATTTTGATTAAGAAGAACCAATTTTCATATTTATTAAAACGTGTTTAAGATTATAATAAAAGTTAATTTTTAAAATACCTTACTTTGGACTTATCAAAATTATATTTTTTATACCAGTACATCACATCAAAACATTCAAAAACATGAAAAAATAAATTAAAACTAAAAAAAAAAAGTACTCAAAAATATTAAAAAACACGGTCCAACCACACAGGTAAACACTGCCTTAATCTTAATTCAAGGAACATTAGAGCACTTTGCAGGTCTCGAAATCTCCAGTCAGATTTTTGG